GACTACTTGATCAGACACTTTGAGGTTAACAAGGTTAATTGTTTAAGGTTTAAGATAATTAAAAATTAGACAATATCTCTTTCTATATGAAAATTTTGTGTTCCCAATAAGACAAAATAAGTAACTACAATAGAAAGTTCAAAAAAATAAAAAAAATAAAAAAAAATCAATTCAACAATCTCTCCCTATATTGGCAAGCCAAACGTACGATGGAAAAGGAGTCAAAGCACAAGATTTTTGTATATAATAACTTTTTCCTAATTAGCTCATGTTTGAGTTTGACACCAATTTTAATTACATTATCATTCTCATTTTTTTCTTTCTTAATTTCAATCACACATTTTTCAAATAAAACAATATTACACACAAATCTAAAATTTTTCATCACTTTTTCGCTACACATTCTCCTATGAATCACTATTTCAGAAGTTCTATTCTCATTTTAGCCTTTGTTTGACACCCATTTTATTAAAAAAATTTAATTTGGAATAGTGATTGATGGAATGATGTGTGGTTAAAAAGTAAGGAAAATTTTTGGATTTATGTGTAATATTATTTTATTGATAAAATGTGTAGTTAAAATAAAGAAATAAAAAAAGAATGAGAAAAAAAATGAATGTCAAACAAGGGCTTAATGAGATTCAAACACATACTTAGTGATGTCAGTGAAAACTCTTTAACGGGATTTAAGTCCTTGTTTGTCTTCCATTAAAATGAGTGTTTTTTTTTTTTTTAAATAAATTTTGAAATAATTATTTTTTGGAAAATATATGGTTAAAAAATAAAAAAAAAAAATAGATTTACGTATAAAATATTTTATTGCGTGAACGTTTGGTAAAAAATGTATTTGCTTTTTTTCTTTATTTAATGGATTATAAACAGGAGCACAATTTCTCCAAAGATTGTATTGAAATGAAGGGTAGAGAAATAGTCAAAATTCAAAATTTATACATACAATAATACAGCTAAGCAAAAGCGAACAAGAATCAGTAGCCATCACCACCTAACCAACCACCGCGCGCCACCTTCAACCACCACCACACAGCCTTAACCACGTGTCCCCCTCCGCCACCCCCACATCAATTATCCTCTAAAAATCATCTTCCTTTCAGGCTCTCTTCCAGCCTGTATCCACAACTTTGATTATAACTGATTGTCATTTTTCATTATTAAATTCGTTTTAGTCTTTGGCCTCTTCTTTTGGTCTTTCCCATCTACTTTTCTTTCTCCATCTCCTCTATAGATTCCTTCTCACCCACAAAAAATCTGCATATTTTGTATAAGAAATTACCGTCTTATCTTATTTCTTGGATTTGGATACCCTTTTGAATAAATTTGAATTCTTTGGTCCAGATCTTTTGAGTTATTTGGAGATATCATGGCGGAAGAGCATGGATTTCAAGCATCCGAAGGCCACCGTTTGTGTGCAAATAATTGCGGATTTTTTGGCAGCCCTGCTACTAAAGATTTATGTTCTAAATGTTACGGGGATCTTTTCCTGAAAGAGACACAAAAGAATTCAAAATCCAGCGGTTCTCCTTTATTTACATCACCGCCTTTGGTTGCGCCGTCGTCATCCGTGGTGGAGACGTGGCCAACAGTATCCTTGCCGGATAATTCTCCTGTGGCGGTGCAACCTGTGGTGGAGCACCAGCCCAGCAGGTGCTTTACGTGCAGGAAGAAGGTGGGGTTAATAGGTTTCAGGTGTAGGTGTGGGACCACCTTCTGCGGGAGTCACCGGTACCCGGAACAACATGGATGTACCTTTGATTTCAAGGCCATGGGGAAGGAGGCCATTGCGAAGGCCAATCCTGTGGTCAAAGCTGAGAAGTTGGAGAAGATATGATCAGAGCCGTTGATCTGTATGACTTTTCTGGCTGATGAACGGTTGAGATTATGCCGGCTATTCACGAGGATGATCATAGTGAATTGATGTGAATAATTTTTCTTTTTGTCCTTATTTTCTCTGTCGTCATAATTTATGTGGGATTTAGTGAGAAAAAAAAGAGAAAAATAATGATGTCAATAATTTAGATGCTGTTTTCATACTCATTTCAATTTCAATTTCAGCAAATGCCATTTGCCAACTTGTCGTGTTGATGTTATGTAAGGAATAATGCTATTTGTAATTATAACGTTGAAACATTGATGATGTGACAATTTAAGTGAAATAATGAAATAAAATAGTTCAATACCACTATCTCTCATGAAAATTGAACTATCGTATCCCATGTTCCACATAAGTTGTCATATCATCGATATTTCATCATTATGATGGTAAATAACATTACTCTACGTAAGAGTAGTTCCTTTCGAATCATGGGCCAAATGATGATTGTTTTCGACAACAATTAAGCTCCTTGTACTGTATTAATGTATAGAAATCTTTACAGATGTACAGGTGGCTACACTACATAATTCGTCACAAAATTGTTTTTTGTCAAGGCCAAATGATGCTTGTTACTTGTGTAACTGTAATGCTCTATACATTTCTGTTGTGAATGTAGCAAAGTTCATCCAATAATTCCCTTTGACAATTGAGTCCTTAACATTTCGAATGTAGCAAAGTTCATCCAATAATTTCCCTTTGACAATTGAGTCCTTAACATTTCAAGTTTTTAGCAACAATGTAGTTTTTAGTGGTCAATGCTCGTCCATTTCATTAAAAAATGGATAATTGTAATAGCGGTACCAAACATTTCATTTAATAACATACTTTGTCCAAACCTTTCATGTGTACTAGACACATAGTACCAAATCTTTTAAAAATTAGCACGTGGGGTCAAAATGGATGATTTCTATTAGTTTGACCGTTAGTTGACTAGATAATTGACATTGACAATAATTTTGACTAATTTTTAAATATCATAATGAAAATTTACATTTTTTATAATAAAATAATTAAATTGAAAATAAAAAACCAACTTCACCACTACTGAATGGCTCTACAGCACTTACCCGTGCGGCGTCACTGCCATCTCTTCCATTTCCACCTTCATTCCCATCACTCAACAAATTTTTTCTTCCCTCTCTTCCTCCACCTCCTTCACCACCACTACCACCAAAAAATTTCCAACAATATACTCCAACAATTTCCCTATGGCTAAAAAAAATACAAACCCAAACATTGGCGACTCAATGGAATATGTTCTCAATCAAAATCAAAATAGGCTTGAATCACTCAAATCAAATCTGGATGGACTGCTAGGATCTAAATAAAGATTGGAGCTACCAAGTTGTGTACTCGGCTCTGCACTTTAAGATCACTTAAAAAACTGCAGTGTCTCAAGCTCAAAGCTATGAATTCCTTGGACATGGAAAAGCACTTGCACTTCAGAGTCGAGTTCTAGTGATTCTTTATGGTGTTATCCGTCAAGCTATACAACAATTGGGATATAGTAGTCCATTTGTTCCCAAATTATGCGTGAGCCCAAATGATTGTCTCATCTAATTCAGGTGTTAAAGCCCAATGCTGCACTTCGGGGGAAAGCTGGTGCACCACTGCGACCTGTATGATTTCCCAGATTTGGGGTTCGAAGATTTGGGAAAGAATAATTTGTTGGGTGATGGGAATGGAGGTGGAAATGGAGGAGGTGGGAGTGGAGGAGATGCCAGTGGCGTAGACGTTTTATGGGTGTGGTTGAGCCGTCCGGTAGTGATGGTAATGGTTTTGGGGGTGGGGTGTGGGGGTGTGGATGGGTATGTGTGGGGTAGATGAAGAAGAGGAAGTTGGTTTTTTGATTTTAGTTATTTTATTATAAAAATGTAAAGTTACCATTTTAACATTTTAAAATTAGTCAAAATTATCGTCAATGCCAATTATTTGGTCAACTAACGATCAAACTAATAGAAATTATCCAATTAAACCTCACGTGCTAATTTTTAAAAGATTTGGTACCGTAGGTGGCACAAATGAAATGTTTGAGTAAAGTCTACTACTAAATGAAATATTTAATACCGCTGCTGCAATTATCTATAAAAAAGAAATTAGTAAACGTGATATTAAAAAAAAAAAAAAGGAAATGAAAAGGAAAAGAAGAATAAGAAAGAAATGAAAAGTGTTGTAGCTCACACTCTAGAGGTTGTCCGGGAATAAAGAATTTGAAATAATGCTACTTGTGTATAATGGAGTTATATAATGATTTACATACAGATAATGTGTCAAAAAGATAGGGAATTTTTTTATTTGATTGAAAAAATTCTGACCCAATCATATCACGTCACATCATGTGTATCCGAAAAATTTATCCCCTTTGCTTAGGCTCTATTAAAATGTGATTTTGAGGGAAAATGTGTTTTAGAATAATGATTTTTTGAAAAATGTGTGATTAAAAAATAAGGAATTTTTTTCGAATTTACATGTAACATTATTTTATGGGAGAATGTGGTTGAAAATGAATTTAGTAAAAATGAATTTTTTAAAAAATGGAGCCTAAACGGGGGTTTAGTGGCTATAATTTTAGTTTATATTGTTGTCTAATTAGGAGGTGTAATTGTGGCTGACATCACTGGTTAGTAGTACTCCATATTACTATGGAAAAAAAAAA